GAAATCCTTTATCAGTGTATCCAGCTTGACATGTGCCATTGTTGAAACAGGGACTGCTGCTGCAGGGATTCTGTCGAAGACAAAATGACTGCGTATCATAAACATCCATGGTTAGTTTACTTGCCCGGGTTATCATGTAATCACAGGAACGCATTTGTGCTGGAACGATAACTTCTTCAGGCTTTTTAATAACTGAAGTAAGTGGAGACAGGAACTAATTACACTTTACCAGTCATTAAACCTGAAAATCTATCAATCGCGGCACTGGATATTGGGTTTGTTGAGTAGTGGTTGATTGATTAAGAATTGGTCCCTTCATTTTATAATTAGGCCCGGGTATCTTGCTCTTTCTTTTCTTAACATTGTAGAGATGCCACCACTGGTGTATCTTAGCCTTGGTATTCTCCCTTTAGGTGACTCCTCATAAATAAATAAAACTCGTAGTAGGATTTTTTTATTGAAATTTTCCTTGAAAGTTCTTCAGCAATCTCTGTTCCTGGAACTACCATACAAAGGAAGGGTCACCAAAGAGATAGTTAGGCCAGTCTTAACCTATTTCTCCGTACTAGTACTAATAGCGAGGATCAGTTATTTCATAGTTTTACAGCATATTTGATAAGTAAAAATTCTCGAGCATTTGGAATAACGCAATCTCTCGATTGCATAACATCGAAACCGGGTCAAAACTTTCCTCAGGAGGACCAATGCCGCACTAAGGAATCACTTCAATGTAATTCATGTGCAATTGCAAGGCTAGTTTAAGAAGTAATCCGACAAACTGATGGTCCAGAATAATTGTTCATCATCTAAAACAGGACCTGCATTGATAGGACCTGCATTGACAGGACCTGCATTGATAGGACCTGCATTGATAGGACCTGCATTGATAGGACCTGCATTAACAGGACCTCCATTGATAGCAATTTTTGCTTTCCTAAACTTAAGCAGCAATCCTGTATAAATATGTTTAAATTATTATTATTATAAAATAATTCACTTTACCTCGATACTGAGATGGGTGTAATCTTGTTTACGCTGAAGGTCAGACGAACCTGGACTTTCGTTCGAAACATTGTTCAACTCACAAATGTAGTTTCCTCCTTGTGAAGGCCCAAAATTTATGGATACACAATTGGGCTCCATATAACACAGCACATTACAGCTGCCTTGATTGGGCACCTCTACAAGCCTGATCAAGTGGCCCTTCATGACTTTCTCTTGTATCGGTTCTTTGAAAACAATAGATCGGCATTCTTCACCTATTTGGATTGCAAATAACAAAACAAGCTCATGCACAGTTTTGGTTTAGAATGGCAGGGTAATATCCTTAAGAAATTAATTTCTCTCGAGAGACACTGGATAATGGTTTGTTGCTTTCTTTTTGTACTCTGAGAGTTTTCCCTGATACAGTATCCTAGGGGACTGAAACTCCTGCTTGTTGGTCTGCTTTTATGCTCTTAGGAATATTTCGAGACTTTTCCCTCCTCAATTCCTCCTCAGCCACTGGAATTAAGGAGAAGTTCAGCCCAATAGTTTGTGACAGAGAATTGCCTTTGATTGAAATGAAACTTCGAAAAACAGAGTATGCCATTTAATGAAAACTGAAGCACGATTATTGAGTTTTTAGCCACCTGATTAGGTGAACGAAGCCATATTATTAACTGGTAACCTAGCTCCCAGCTCATAACCTCTAATCAGCGTCAAAATAAGGTGACACATCATGTTTGGAGAGTTCTGTTTATGTGAAGAATAGCATTCTTGTTTCTTCCACATTCTTATCATTAACAGACCTTCCTCCCCCATTCAAAGTTGGCTAAAATTCATAAAAACACGATACAACATTGTTTTGGGGTGGAAGAGGGCGAAATGGTTAACTTAACGAGGGTAAAAGAGATAAATTAAAGTAATTAAGGGTTGAAAAGTATCAGTGTGTCAACACTCTTTTCACCGATTGTCTTAATGACCATATTAGAAATTTCTTAAATATGAAGATTAAAGAGAAGTCTGTTTGAACATTATGTTATCGACTTCATGTTTACATTCGACTAAGTCAGCTTTGGTATGGTCACCACTCGGTACAAGCTAATTAGGATCGGTTATGTAGTTATTTTGAGACGTTACAGTCGAGTTGTTAGCTCAGAAAACTTTTAGCAACATTGTTTTTGAGTAGAAAATCTTTGAACAAACCTGTGCACTTGTGCGAATCGTAAAAAAGCATTAAAGGCCCATTTCCAACCGAGATGCCCTGCGCGCCCGGACATTTTTCATATATGAAAAATAGGCTATTTTCCTCGTAGTTGCGGAATCGCTTTGATATCGTCTTCCATCTTACTAATTAAGGCTTTCAAAGTTCCATCTTGATTGATGTGCGAACAACAAACTATCGTAGTATCCATATCAGTAAATAGTTTTTAATTCTTACATGTATGACGGTGAAAAACGTCATTTGAAAAGTTAATGCCGCCGAAGAAGCGGTCTAGAGGAAGGCCGAGTCTGCCCGGCTCGGCAAAGGTTATTCGACTGCGAGAGTCTGTGTATGATTTATGGAGGGCAAGGAAAACAACCATGGATTTCGGTAACACTACAGACAGTGCTTTCTCAGAAATGTTATTGCATTGAGTTCCTACGATAGAACTAGAGACTCCGGGAAGATTTTCTCGAGGTGAGAATAATTATTTGACTCATTTTTACTTGAGATCCTGAGATATGTATGTAAGCGATCTCATTTGTACAAGTCATTATTCTATAAATGAAATGCGTAAAGTAAATCCCTTTTGGCCAATATTGGTTATCTGTTTATATTTTATTTTGAGTTGAAGCCGAACAGTTTCCTTCAACATCAAGTAAGCTTTGTACAAGTTTTATACACTGACTCGATTTATGATTTTACAGTCTCAAATATTTAGCTGCAAATTTGTTTACTGTGTTCTTCACCAAATCTTTGTTTTCCTTTTTAATAGTGTTTGTGAATGACTATCAGAGTTCGCCATTTGACAATAGCGCGATTCCAAAGCAAAAAAAAACGAATGCAAAGGATCTTGGATGGAAATGGGCCTTTAAGGCTTGACACTAATAAAAATCATGGAGCATTTTAGTCTTTAGCGATCCACCTCCTAAACAAGATGAAAAGGACCTTTCAGCAGTCAGGAAGGCAACGCCAAAGAAGACGTCGATCAAAACAAAAGAATTTCTATTTTCAGTTTTGATTTCAAAAATGGCTGCATGTTTTACCATGTCTTACGGTGCCATAACTCAACTTCAGCATAACGTATATAAGCAGTGTTGAGTTCCAAATGGAAATTCAAAAAATTTGCTGTCGCGGTTTCCGTTCGCGGACGACTCAACTTTTGGTGATTTCACGTTTTGCAGAGGACGGCGAAGAAATGTAAAAAGTTTTAAACGCACGTGCTGACCATTGTTCTTTTACGTGAAGGTGTAGTCTTATCGTCCGGGTGAGTGTAGTCCTGAGGACTGTTGTCGGTGGTAGTGACTGACGTTTCGACAACCTGTGCGGAAGTCATCACCAGAGTCAAGTGAATGATTGTTGTCATTCTACTGACAACAATCATTCACTTCACTCTGATGATGACTTCCGCACAGGTTGTCGAAACGTCAGTCACTACCACAGACAACAGTCCTTCTCAGGACTACACTCACCCGGACGATCAGACTACACCTTCACATGTTACCCCCGGGTTCAAACCATTTACTGCATTGTTCTTTTATGTTGCTTCATCCTCGTTGCCGTTAGCGTCCTAAAAACGATCAAAAAGTTGTCATGAGCCATATAAAGGAGAAGGAGCCAATCAACCAAGAAAGTTTCAAAAACGAATCCTTTTACGAAAAGTCACCAATTTACGTAAGGAAAGGGTAATTTTACTGTTAAGATACTGATGGAAAAAGAATAGTTAAATATGTGACAAGTTTCCTTTGGAGCCCTGCAACACTTCCTTTATTTGAATGGCTATCGTGACGAGTTTCCATGNCTACTTACTTTCAGTACAACGGTAAACACTACAAACAGTTACACGGCACTGCCATGGGGTCTCCAGTTTCTGTTGTTATAGCAGAAATTGTGATGCAGAACATCGAGGAACGCGCCCTTTCGACTTGCCGACAAACGATACCGCTTTGGTTACGTTACGTTGACGACACATTCACCGCCGTTCGACACGACGAAATTGACGCATTCCACAACCACCTTAACGAACAAAACACTGACATACAGTTTACCAGAGAAGTCGAAGAAAATGGCAAACTTCCTTTTCTAGACTGCCTGGTAAGCCACAACGACAACTCATTACGAACGACAGTTTACAGGAAACCGACACACACCGACAGATTACTAGACGAGTCATCCTACAACCCTACATCACACAAAGCCACAACTATCAGAACTCTAACACGACGCGCACAACTAGTATGTGACTCGACAGACAGCTTATCCGACGAGAACAAATACCTTCACCGTGTTTTTACGAAGAACAACTACAACAACGACTTCATCCGACGAAACACTCACCGACCCACTACCACTACCGAAACAAACGACACCGCAACCCCTACGACTACAGCAACCATACCGTACATAAAAGGCATGTCTGAAAACATCTCGCGCATCTTACTACCCTTCAATATCCGCGTCGCCCACAAACCCATCACCACACTACGTCAGTTACTAACCAACGTTAAAGACAAAGACGAACCGAGGAACAGACAGGGAACGATTTATAAGATCAATTGTTCCGACTGCCAAGCCTCCTACATCGGTGAGACTGGCAGAAACCTCACAACAAGACTGACTGAACACAGACGGGCGACGAGGAAAGGTGATGTCAGCAATCACATTGCTGAACACCATCGACTTACCAACCACAACATTGACTGGGACTCTGCGCAATGCCTAACCTACAGCACTGACTATTTTCAACGACTGACTCTGGAAAGCTGGTTTACTAACTTAGAACAGACTCCCCTAAACAGATGTCAACAACTACCCGCTCCATACAAACGACTCATTCACGACATAAACATCACAAACGACCGAAAAAGAACGACCTAACTTTACCGACAGATCGAAACAGACCAATCACGACCGACTTACGTCACTTGAGTCTTACAGCCAATAACATCACGGCAAAACCAACCGATCATTTCACACGAACTGGAATAAGAACATTCTACTGACAACAATCATTCACTTGACTCTGATGATGACTTCCGCACAGGTTGTCGAAACGTCAGTCACTACCACCGACAACAGTCCTTCTCAGGACTACACTCACCCGGACGATCAGACTACACCTTCACATGTTACCCCCGGGTTCAAACCATTTACTGCATTGTTCTTTTATGTTGCTTCATCCTCGTTGCCGTTAGCGTCCTAAAAACGATCAAAAAGTTGTCATGAGCCATATAAAGGAGAAGGAGCCAATCAACCAAGAAAGTTTCAAAAACGAATCCTTTTACGAAAAGTCACCAATTTACGTAAGGAAAGGGTAATTTTACTGTTAAGATACTGATGGAAAAAGAATAGTTAAATATGTGACAAGTTTCCTTTGGAGCCCTGCAACACTTCCTTTATTTGAATGGCTATCGTGACGAGTTTCCATGACGTGTAAGATACAATAAACTTTCATTTCATCGTATTTCTCTTAAAAATTTACTCCGAAATCTGAATTTAAGAATCAAAGTGTGTTAATATCATTTATTTTGAATCAAAAATTGACCGAAAGAGTTGAGAAAAAGTTTGGATTGCGAGATGCAACGGTTAACCACAAGTGTAAACGGGACATTAACGTACTTTTTAAATTTACTGTCAAATATGATCAATAAATTCGTCAGGAGCAAGCCGCGAGGCAATGGCTGAAAAAAATCAGTTTGCCACGGTGCTTACTATTAAAATTCCTTGAATTTAGTTTTCGCAAGACAGCAGACGCTTCATTAGCCTTTCAGGGGTGCTTTTAGATCGGAATCAACTCTCTCAAATTTAATTTAGCTACTATGGAAGACGAAACACGAGTTGACGTCAGAGTGGTTTTAATTTCTTCCAGAGGAAAAGTACTGTTTGACTGAGAGGGATACGATACACGTTGGGCTTCGAACAAGAGGGAGCCGAGCCTTGCACAGTTTGTCACAAAGCCACAACTCGTCTAGTCACAAATTAAAGATCCTCTTCATAAAGAGGTTGCAGCAGAGTATTTGCACTTGAAACAATAAAAAGCTTGCCTATGACGAAGCTCTCAAACGTTAAGAATACGCGGAACGACATTTAGTATTGATAAAGTACAGAACATAGCCAGCTTACCAGAACATCCCCAGCAAATTGGAAAAATGACTGCAGAGAAGTAAAAACTACATAGCTGGATAAAGATGCCGATCTCAATATAAAGTTTTCGTTTCAACGTTGCCGCCATTTGATGATGAATGTATAATGTTTTGATATCACGGAGGGGCAAGCTATAGTGAAACCACGCTTCAAATCTTTCCAGTCTTAACACTTCCAAACAATGAGTCCAGCGTACACTCAAAGATGGAAACCTTGCAGTGGTATTTCAACACACTTTCCTCGCTGAAAATCTTCTTTCACCAGAATTTTCTCATATTGAGGCCAGTGCTGTTTTAAGTAGCTTATGACAGGTGCACAATCAGTGCGTGATCTGACAGGCAGAAAATATGCGTTCTACTGGTCTTTTTATTTGCATTTGTTTATTTAAAATTCTAGCGGCAATTATACACATCCTCCCTCATAGATAAATATACAAAATAAGCCACTTCTCAAACTTTGTTTTTAATTTAAGTTGGGAAGACCAGCATTCAAGACAACTCTCTGTTCATCTAGAAACAAGATATTTTAACCACAGCATTTTTCTACGTACATACAAATAGATGTAGATAATTATATTTTTTTTCTTTGAAATTGTATCGCTAAAGTGATGGTATTGCACTGAAAATATCAAGTACTTATGCTGCATGTTTAGATTTTAGACTGTACCAAGATTTCATGTTATTCTTGAACGATGTGTTCAGAGTATGAATTTTTACCAAAAAAAAGAAGGAAAAAGCTTAAAACAATTACCTAACAAGGCCAGTCACCATTATGATAAAATTTACGGGCTAATGAATAATGCTAATTTTCTTTCTTTTTTTTCATTTTTCTTTTTTAACACAAAAATGTCACTTGAATTTGATTAATCTGACAGGTGTTAATATCTTCTTCTGCAAACAGCTACAATATTGCTCTTAAGATTGCATACATGTTATTAGCTAACCTTTGTTGCGAAATCTAGCCAGCATATTGAAGAACTTTTTGTTCGACGCCTTTACGTTCATTGTTGCACTAAGAGGTCGTCAGTTTCAACGAATAAAGTCACAAGAACATGCAAAAGCAAAACAAATGCCGACGAATAAAATAGGATGGCACTATATAGCATAGGATTCAAAGAAAATTACTCTTTTATGCTCATCATTTGTTCCGAGAACATGCATGTGTTGCGAAGCGAATGGATTTCCCGGCGAGGACTGAGCTTAAAGAGTACTGTAAACATCGAGGGACATCTAATTTCCATAATAAAAACATGAGGTTATTTCAGTGAAGAGAGAAAAATGCTCTAGTACCGCGTGTTTCATAGCCTTCAAATATTTATGCTGCAAGTGGGAAAAACGCTCAGGCTCAGCGTGGAAAACTGTTAAGCCGCGAAGGAAATCGACTTTTTCCAATTTTTATCTTTCGCACACTAGGACAAACAATAACAGTATTTAAACAATCTACCACCTTGAAGCGACAGGTAAACAAAGAATTTAGTCATGTTGGACGTGTGGTTTCAAAATTGGGATCTATTGATTCCCCAATTTTAGCTTCAACTGGAAATACCGGGTCACATGACATCACGTGAAAATCAATAGCACGCCAAATGAAATATGTGTCACTACAATCCAACATGTATTTTTGCGCAAGTGCGATTGGTCAAATATCCCCAAACTAAAACTGGAGAATATCCGAGGATATACCTCAAGAGATATTTCCCAATTTTTCCAACCTTACTTCCATTATGGAAACTTCTGAGCTTAAAATTCTTTTCAGGATGAGAAAGCGTTGTGTAGTTGTTATGGATGTTTTTTGTTTTTTGTTCACAAAATCGTTTCAAAGAACAATAAAAGTGAACATCCCAGGCCGTAAATGGTAAGCTGTTCGTAAACATTTTTCCTAAGCGTTGAAAAAATTAGAAGGATAATCGACGTAATAGCCTCCATTTGGCGTATATATTTCCTTGGACATTACCTGTTCCGAGATGCAAGCAGTTTTTCGACAGCGAAGTTCGGGGAAAACTGTGAGCTTCGAGAATATCCGCGGATAAATATCCCTGCATATTTTCGCGCCAAATAGAGGCTACTGTTTAGATAGGCCACCACTCGTTTCAATTTACTAGCGTATCAAACCACGTGGGACGTTAGGAGAACAACAGAAAAGACGGGAAATTACGAGCCTATGGAGAGTGATTTACAAACTTCTTAATTGGGTCATCAGAGTAATACTGTTTAAGTTATTAAGCAACCAGAGCAGCGCGGCTGTGCATATCTAACCAGACAAAGTTCCGGTCACTTGAGGAAGTTAGCGAAGAATACTAATCTGCTCACCTGTGTCTTCTTCTCCTGGTATTTCTCTTCAAAAAAAAAGTGTGACGGTCGCCTAGGAGAAAACTGGAGTTTTGGGTTCGGCAACTGCATTGTACGATGCCATGTTATTATCACTTTGAATTATCAAAACCCTCCTTCCGGTTTTTTAACCTATATCAAAGTTTTATTCTTTAATTCAGTTTCCCTGATTACTACAAATGCCTAAATTATCCTCAAAAGTGTGTTCAAGAAAGGATGTCTCATCGACCGACAATAAGCCAGAAGAAGAATGCTTGCTCATACAAAACCACTGTGTCCACTATGCTATAAAAGAGCTCAGTTCATGCTCATATCGTGCGTATATCGAAGCATGAATGCCCTTGAAAAAATTCTTAAGTTACTATCGGTAACCTTGTGCAACGCCTGAGCATCTCTTGTGCTCTCCAAACTTCCCGCGCTTCCCGTAGGCACGCTAAGCATTGCATGACATCTCAAATAACGGCTGTGCAAAAGAGGATGAGAAATGGGCACACAAGGATGCTAAGATTAAGCCCTCTTGCGCTCCAAAGCCAAAACCTACACTAGGTAGATGTCTCAATTCAAGATTGAAAATATACACGTTTAAAATCCTATTCAGTTGGCTTTTTTATTCGTTACCTTACTTAGAGCCCGGCCATGCAGTTCATCACCAAGGGGAAGGGGTCGGAGTATTTTCGGAGTATTTTGGTTGTGTCACGATCCACCACCTGCTCCCCACCCA